CTATTTTCGTCGATTACTGTTTAGCAAAACTCTATACAGTCGAGTTTTCTGGACACCGTCGAATAAGATGACGAGTGGTCCTGTTAGTGTCATTGTTATCATCTTAAGAAGATTTAGAGGCTTATTGCCTGTATTTTCTTCGATCTCTGCTTAGTAGAACTCATCTCTGTATAGCTTCCTGGATAACTTTGCATCTTCCTCTTATTGGTGAAGCCAGTCGATTTTTTCATTTGTGATTCTCTGACATTGTGGAAGATGCAAAAGCTGATGGCGCCTTATATTTTCGTCGATAACTCCTCGTTAGCAGAGCTCGTCTCTGTGTAGAGCTTGTTAGGTACGTTCGAATAAAATGAAGGATCCTTATCAGTGTTTGTTGTCATCTTCCTCTTATTGGTGAAGTTCGGTCGAATTTTTCTTTTTAGGATTACCAGACCTTTATGAAGAAGATTTAGATTATATTTTCGTCGATTACTGCTTAGCAGAGCTCGTCTTTGTGTATAGCTTCCTGTGTACCTCCGCATAAGATGACGGGCCGCCTTGTCAGGGTCAGTGCTGTCGTCTTCCTTTTTTTGGTAAAGTCCGGTGGTTCCTGTTTGGATTCTTAGACTTAATGGAAGATTGATATATTCTCGTGGAAATTTCCTTCAATTTAGTGTCCCGGTCTCAATTTTGCCTTTTAATGTCAGACAATGGTCCATGCTTCTGTATTTTGAAATTGGTAGCATAGTCTATTTTCGAACCCCGAAATCCATTTTGGGTTTTCCAGGATTTTATAAAAAATATTCAGAGGATTCAAATTACAATTTTAACTGTTTACCAATGATGGCGTGATGATGTTTATCGAGATGGGACATACCAAGATCTTGATACTCTTTCTGTAACTACAGTTTTACGATGAGGCATTTTTTTATTCTTTTAGTCTCCTTTGACTCAGTTTTATCCTTTGGCATCAGACAACGGTCCAGTCTTTTGTATTTTGAAGATCCCAGGCATCCAGCATAACCTATTTTCCAAATAGGCTAAGTTGAAATGGAATAGGATCCTTTGGTTCGGACATGTTCGGAAATGCCAAAATTTATTAAAATATATTGAAGTCAAACATTTCTGGTTCGTCATTTCCGAACCAGAAATGTTCCGAATCGGAAAGCGGTTGATTTTTTAATTGATTTTTGGAATATATAAAAATTTCCTGTTCCTAATTTTAAAAAATTTTAATTTTTATAATTTAAATAAAAATCCTTGTGTGTTTGCGGTATAGAACCCATCCTGCCAGCCAGCACGCGCCAATTTAAGCAACGTATTCAAAAAAAAAGTTTCCCTATTGTTGTTGATTTTTTTCTTATTCCAGAATTAGGGAAGATAACAAAAAGCCAACGAAAATTAACAAACAATAGGCATGGCAGGCAGTCATGGCAACAACAACAACAACAATAAAATACTTTTTTTGTTATGTGGTGGTGAACTGGTAAAAATTTAAACGCAGATTTGTTTCTGGGCGCAAAACAAAACGAGAATCTGAAAAAAAATTGGCAAAAATTCTGTTGATTCTCTCCCCCTTCTACCCTTTGCGAAGGGTGGAGGGGGTAACATTATTATGCCGGGTAGCATCAAAAGGGATTGAATCGGCGGCAGCAGTAGCGGTTGCATTAAAAAAACGCACACACATTACATGTACAAAAATATTCCGTGGCAGGGCAGACCAGGATAGCAAGAATTGTGTACACATTTGCTAAGCAACTCCAGTTACAACAACAACAAAAAAACAAATAGACAACAACCACATGAACTTTAAAAATAGCTAACGCTACACCAGCAAAGTAGAGTAGAGCTATAAAAAATTACAAAAAGGTCAGGGTATGTTTTTCTAAATGGCAAGGAGCGGCAGTCAAGTCAAACCAAAAAAATGGGGAGGAAATTGAGAACAGGAATTTTTTTAAATTTAAATAATTTTATTTTGTAATTTTTACCTACCTTTTTATTATTCCATAAATTGCCAAACAGGGATCCAAATAATAGGCTCCTTAAGTCCTTGACTTTGACAGGCGTTTTTTTGTCAACGACAATCTCTTGATGATAAGTGCTGAGCAAACAAGGAACACACCCTTTTTCTATGCAAGAAACACTTTTTTTAAAGGGAACACAATTTGTATTTTTTCACAATATTTAAGGAGATTTTTTCTTTTATTTCTTTTTTAATATTTAATTTAAAAATAAATATTTTTTTTATATTTTTTATTTCTATTTTTAAAAATATTTAATTTTTTCTCAACAGTTGGCCACTTTTTTCGCCACAGATTCTTAAATTTCCTTATATTTTGCAAAACAAAACGCACTCTCTCTCCAATTCACTCTCTTTCCCACTTCACCTCCTGCTCTCGCCTCTCAAAAATTCCTTTGAAATGGAAATCTCAGCAGCAGGCAATCAATTTTTTTTATTAACAACAAAAAAACACTAACACTTTGTTATTAAATTTTCTCCTCTTTATCACACACAAAATAACCTTATTAACTTATATTGTAAACAATTTCTTTTATATTTATTTATTATTATATATTTTGTGCATTATTGTTGTTTTTCTTTTCTACTCCCAAATACCTTATTTGTTTGGGGGTTTATTCTTCCATTTTTTGTTACCACCACCGTTTTGTTTTTTTTCGCGTTTGCCTTCGTTTATTTTCTGCCGTTAAATTGTTTTGGCATCGTAGAACTGAGAGTAACGACTGGCTAAAAGAAGTAGCTGCGTATTGTTTGTTTGCCAGCCAGTCAGCTCTGTTAATAACACAACAGAGCAGAGCGCCGACAGAGAGAGAGAGTCAAAGGCAGAGACAGAGAACGAAAGTTGGAGCACATCACTGTGCAATGAATAAACCATGTTTGGGCTAACAGCTCTGTTACTACTACACAACAGAGCAGCGACAGAGAGAGGGAGACGGAGGCAGAAGCAGCATAGCACTTTGCAATGAACAAACATGATTGGGTGACTGCGCGAGAGTTGGTGGAGTCTGTGTGTGTTTGTTGTTGCTTATGCCAAAACATAACAGTGTGTTGGGGCCAACACAGTGTGTTGGGGCCAAAGGCAGAGTGCGTGTGTTTGTTGTTGCTTGAGCATGCCTAGCATAATAGTGGGTGCCATCATTACACTATAATGGGAGCAGCATTGCAATTACCACACATTGTTTGCGCCAGGGAGGAGATATGTGTGTGTTTGTAATTGCTTAAGCATGAAATAACAGTATGCCTGGTGAGCAGCATTGCCAATGTTATTGGGAGGATTTGTATGACTGCGTCATTATATATAACATTGTTTACTAGTGAGACCGGCTCTTTTAGTTGAAGGCTAATGCAAAACAGGGCAGGGATGCCAACACAACAACATATTGAATTAAATTAACAGGAGAAGAGGTATGTACACGTAATGCATAGCAATTTAAATAAATAAAAATAAATAATTAAAAAAATTAAATAGTTAATAATATTGTTTAAAAGAAAAAAATACTAAAATTACAAAATACAAAAAAATAAGAAAATATAATTAAATAAAATAATAAATATAAAACAAAATAAAATTAAAAAAACTAAAAATAAAATTGAAAAATAAATAAAAAAATAATAAAATATAAAAATAATACATATTAAAAAAGTATAAAAAAATAAATAAAAAACCAAAAATAAAAAATATGGAAAGAGGAATATAAAAAATAATAAAATTAAAAATGTAATTAAATAAAAATTTAATTAAATAAAATAATAAATATAAAATATAATAAAATTAAAAAAATAAATAAAAAATTAAAAAAAAAATTAAATAAAATTTAAAAAATTATAAAAATGAGAAAATAAAAAAATAAAAAATAATTATATAAATAATAAAATATAAAATTATAAAAATAATATAATATATATAATATAAAATAAAAATAATATAATATAATATAAATAATACAAAAAAAACAATAAATGAGAATTGGCAACCCTACACATCTAATACCTTCTTAATATGAAGTTAACATCATGGAGCTGTGTTCAGTTAGCACAACTGTCATCATACTTTGTAGCAGTGGTAGAAAGAGAGAGAGAAGTGACAAAATGCAAACAGCTGCTTTGACAGATGACTAGTAGCTGCCAACTATACCGTTAACAGTTGTTAGTCCATGTAATGGGGGACAGAGAGAGAGGCATATTATCACTCTCCATTACTTTGTTTGTGTGGTAAGGTGAGGCATTCCCATTGGATTATTGGGCAAATACAGGGTGGCGCCAAAGAAAGGGGTTTTAAATTCATTTAGGAAATAAAATAAATAGTAATTAAAATAACCGAAAAAATGCAAAAATATAATAATTAAAAGAAGAAAAAAAAATAAAATATTAAATGATATAATAAAAAATAAATTAAAAATTAATATAAAAATATGTATTGTAAAGAAATATGCAAAAAATACAAATAATTATTAAAAGAAGAAAAAAAAAATAATAAATAAAAAATCATATTATAAAGAAATTAAATAAAAAAGTTAACAGAAATAAGAATATATATATTTATACAAAATTAAATTTATAAAATTTCCAAATACAAAAAGGAATGAAAAATTGAAAAAAATATTCAATTTTTGTTTTTTTAATTCAATAAATATTAAATTTTTAAAAATTAATAAGTAAAATTTTTTAAATTTCCAAAGGAAAAAAATATGTTAATCATTTATTTTGATTTTTTTGTTTTTGTATTCTCCTTTACCACACTTTTTTCATTCTCATCTCTCTTAGCCCGTTATTCTTTTTTTGTGAATATTGTGAGTGATGATTTTTTTTTGTTATTCAAAATTGTTCTTGTAAATATTAGTTGTTGAAAAATTGTGTCTTCAAAATGTTGTGGATTGTGTGGAAAAATTTGCTAGTGTTTGTAATATTATTAACAAATTTTGTGTTGATAGAAGTGAGTTGAGAATTTCTTAAAAAAAACATTTTTTTCAAATAAAAATATAAAATTTGAAAATTTTTGCAGTATTTATTTTTGGTGTCACCTGCTGAAGCCTTAGAAGTAACCCCCTTAAAAGAAGCTGTGAAGTCCGAACAAAAACATGTGCAGAATATTGAAAATGATGAAGGAGATTTTCAAAATATCCACAGGAATTTAAATGAGTATTCGAAGTCATCGATGGGGAATGAGGAGGATGGTTTCCAATTTCTGGTATCAGATGAAGGTATGTAAGAGTTCTGTGAATTTTATTTTGAAAGGGGGTTTTACTGAACTTTTTTGGGAAGGGGGTCCTGTGCATTTCAATGGCCGCCCATCTGTCTATTGCTATTTTGGATTATCCTTGGCTAGTTAATCTTCCTACCAAAAATCATCTATATTGGATTATTTTTTACCATAGCCCCCTTATAGCTGTAGCCTCAATTTTAGGTATTTTGAGAATTTCGCAAAAATATTTACAAGAGAAATTGCTGAAATTTGATATTGGGTAGTAAATCTTCGTACCAAAAATTATTTATATTGGTTCATTTTTTACCATAGCTCCCATATAAATATACCCTCGATTTGCGGTATTTTGCGGATTTCGAACACATTTTTTCTTAATTAATTAAATTAGGTATATGGGGTTCCCCTTTGTACCAAAAACCATCTAAATTGGTTAATTTTTTACCATAGCTCCCATATAACTGTATCCTCCGATTTGCGATATTTTGAGGATTTCGGTCACATATTTTCAACCGAAATTACTGAAATTTGTTATTTGGGGTTCTCATTGGGCAGCAAATCAGCCTACCAAAAATAATTAATATTGGTCCACTTTTAAGTATAGCTCCCATATAACCGAACCCTCACATTTTCGTTATTTTGAGGATTTCGGGCAGATTTTTTCAATAAAAATTGCTGATATTTAGTACATAGGGTTCTCCTTGAGTAGGAAATCAGCCTACCAAAAATAGTTAATATTGGTCCACTTTTAGGTATAGTCCCTATATAAACCTAACCTTCCGATTTTCAGATTTCGGACACATTTTTCAACCAAAATTGCAGAAATTTCATATATAGGGTTAGTTTTAGGTAAAAAATCTTCCTACCAAAAATTATCAATATTGGTACACTTTTAAGTATAGCCCCTACATAAATGTACCCTCGATTTTCGATATTTTGCGGATTTCGAGCACATTTTTTCAGCCGAAATTGCTATAATTTGGTATTTGGGGTTCTCATTGGGTAGCAAATCAGCCTACCAAAAATAATTAATATTGGTCCACTTTTAAGTATAGCTCCCATATAACTTTACCCCGGATTTGCAGAATTTGGCGGATTTCGAACACATTTGTCGACCAAAATTGCTGAAATTTGGTATATAGGGTTCTTCACGGATAGGAAATCTCCTTACCAAAAATTATCAATATCGGTTAATTTTTAGGTGTAGCCATCATATAACTGGAACCCCGATTTTTCGATATTTTCAGGATTTTGGACACATTTTTCAACCGAATTGGCTGAAATTTGGTATATAGGGTTATCGTTGGCTATTAAATCTCCATACCAAAAATTATCAATATCGGTCTACTTTTAAGTATAGCTACCTTATAAGGGTACCCCCGATTTTCGATATTTTGTGGATTTCGGGCACATCCGTTCAACCGAAATTGCTGAAATTTGATACACAGGGTTCTCCTTGGCTATTAAATCTCCTCACCAAAAATTATCGTTATTGGTCCACATTTAGGTATAGCCCCCATATAAGGGTACCCATCGATTTTCGATATTTTGAGGATTTCGAACATTTTTTATCAACTAAATTGACTCTAGTTCCATATTTCAGGTTCTCTTTTGGTTCCAAAGCTTCACACCAAAAATTATCAATATCGGTACACATTTTGGTATAACCCTCCTATACGGGATACGCCAATTTTCGATACTTTTAGCATTTCTATGTGGCTGTAATTTGTTATTCAAGGTCGTATATAGGTAAAGAACTTTTGCAGAGAATATTTTTTAATAAAAGTCCATGTTTCTACATAACCCCCATAGCCATCGTTCGAAGGTTCCGCAGTATTTTTCGGCAATTTTAAGGTCCTGAGCCTAATTTTCCAGCCAGAGTTTGGCATTTTGTTTTCTCCCAGGCGCAATTAACCCTGACAGAGCCTTCATATAAAAAGTTCCGATTGATTTTAGGTTTTTGGAAGGTATATCTCAGTAAAAAAAAGTTCGATCCGACCGAACTTATCGAAGTTTTTTAGTTGTTTTTATTTAATTTCTATTATTTTCTTATTCATTTTATTTCCAGCCTTTCCCTCTCCTGCACCCCAAATTCTAAGTTCCTCCAAAATTTTACAAAATTTCCATGCCGAAGATTTGTCGAATTTTCAAAGTTCCCTACCAAGGGCCCAAGATATTTTACACATAAAATCTATGGAACAAGACATCAGCTTCAACTGGCGCTCTGAGAATATTTCCGAGTGGAGGCATTTAAGTTATGGGCACAATAATTTTTATATTGGTCGGCGTTCCCAGGACCTGGTGGTGGTTAAAACGGATGCTAGACTTGAAAATCCCTCCTTTACCTCTGTAAATATTGACCTCCCCATTACAGCCCTGGAAATGTATAGCCACTGGAATTTTGCTAAACAAAGACCCGAAGGCCTGTTATTGGTCTCCTCAGGCCCGAATATTCTGTGGTATCGCAACTATCCGGAAATCCGCAATGAATTTGAGTTCTTCGGCAACTGGTCTTTGGATGCGGAAATTCGTCAAATGAAATATTTTTCCTATGAGTCCCAGGATTATTTAGTGGTCAGCTTTAATACTTCTGCCGTGGATGTTTATGAGTTCCACATCAAATCGAAGAGGGCAAAGGTGTTTCAAACTCTGCAATTCAAACCGCCATTGGGCGAAGTGGAATTATTGAAGACGAGTGGAGAAATTTTGCTAGTGATACCCCAAAGGAATCAGATTTTGATTTATGAAGCCCAAACCAGACCACAATTACAGTTCCGCAGCAAAGAGATCCTTGAGATACCGAATCTATATGCTCTGAGAGCCTTCAAGATTGCTGGCCAACCCTATATGTTTACGGCAGGTCACGAATCCCAAATTTTCAAATATCATCAAGGCCATTTCGAGACCCTTGTGGAATTGGATAACACCTTCGGCCTTGTGGACTCAGTTATGCCCATACCCGTCAACAGTCAAAGGGAGCACTTCATACTACTCATCAAACACCATGCCGAGAATCTCACTTCTCTTGATGCTCTCATTTGGAATGACATCACCTTTGACAGCAATCTGCCCTTCAACTGCCACCGCAACTCTGAAAAGCTCCCAGCTTCCCTGTGTGCCAAGGAGCTACAACTTCAGGGAGCCCTCCTACACTCTTCCACGGAAGAGAGAATTTCTCTGCTCTCACCTAACCCCAAGGGATCGGCTCAACTCTTCCATTTCAATTTTGAAATCCTCGAAGAAAATTTGGAATATTTGGAGCTCCTGGAATCCTTTGAGTTACTCAAGAACCTGGCCGAGGAAAGAGATAACCTAATCACCGAAGCCCATCAATTTCTCGAAACCCCCGAGGATATTCTCCTGCAGCAAATGAACAATGAAATCTCCTCCCTACAGACCCCTGAATTCCACTTCGAGGGAGAGGTAGACGAAATTTTCCTAAATGGCCACAAATGGTCCTCGGAGGATGACAATCTACAATTGGATTATCTCATAGAAACCCTGGAAGATCTGGAGCAACGTTTAAGTTCTCTTCGACCTCGACGGGAATTGGAGGATTCGATCATAGAAAATTTACACTTGGATTCATTGTGGGCGGAGGAATTAGAAATAGAACAGCTTAATGGCGAAGAATTTTTCATAAAGGACGGGATATTAAATTTCCCTGGCGAAGTGGAGGTTCAGCACTTGGAGGTCATGAAATCGGTGTGGAGCAAACATAAACGTCAATTGTCGGAGGATATGCACCTCGAAGGAGACTTGGAATTTGACTACATTAATGGCCTGAAATGGGATGAATTTAGCAAAAATTTGGTCATGAAGCATCAGGAACAGGAGCTGGAGGTACTGAAAGTGGAGGGGGTAAGTAACGTTAATTTTTTTCAGATACCTCTATGGACCCTACTTGCCTTAAATACAATCGAAATCTTTGTTTTTTTTTTCAGGTGACTCGCATTTGGGCGCCACTAATTTTTTGTGAGGTTAACAGTAGAGCCTTCCTTCTAATCATTTTAGGACTCCCTTCTAATGGAACAATTGGAATTCCTGCTTTTTCAGGTGACTCCCATTTGGGCGCCACTATTTTTTCCCCTTAGGGTTCCTAATACCGCCTTCTTTTGAAACGTTTTAAGAACCCCTTTCTGGTTTATTGTCGCCTAAAATGCCTCCCTCAGTTCCTCCGAAATTAGCTTTCCGATCCTCTCAAGACAAAGAGCCTTCTTCTTATCCACCTCCTCTTGTAGACCTCTATTCGATTCTCTTCCGATACTCAATTAAGGATTTCGCCCGGGTTGTACTCTGAAGTCTCCCTACACATTTTCCGCAAGAAGTTATGCAAAGACATCCTGGCGGCACAGCTTATCTTCTCAGATCTCTCTGATTATCCCTCAGATCCTCGCAGTACTTCTAGATAGAAGGCCTGGTCTCTAAGCTCACCTTGTGCAGGCTCTAGGGCATTTCAGAATGTTGTATAAACCCGCCGGGAAATACAGCTCCTTCACACAGGTCCTATATTGGATCCCTCCTTCGGCACAGGTACGATTGGTTGTTGTACAGACTCCCGTTTCTTCTGTGACGACTCCGGCTCCTCAGCCCGTCAGTACCAATGTTCCTGCCTCTTACATAGTCTAGGTAGATCTGTGACGACTCCGTGGCTCCTCGCCCGTCAGTACAAATGTCCCTGCCTCTTACATCGCCTAGGTAGATCTCCCAGTACTTCGTTCTCCTTACCTGACCCGTCAACTTGCCTTTATAGTCCCTCTGAACCTTCAGCCCACCTGTGTAGACTTCATAGCCGTTTCAGGAACTGCATTCCGACTATTTACCCGTCCACTGACCTCACGTTACTTCTGTACTGGGTCCTATATAGGCTAGGAAAGCCTGCCAGTGCATCGTTTCCTCTACCTCAACATTCAGCTTGCCTATTGAGACTCCCTGACCCTTCATCTTACCTCTGCACTCTCCTTAACCGTTCTAGGAACTTCATTCCGTCTATTTACCCATTCACTGACCTCTCGTTCCTTTTATATTCCCTTGGCTTTCTGGTCTCCCAGATTATCTATGTAGACCTCGCAGTATCCCGATTCATCTCCATGGTCCTTCATCTTGCCTATGTCGACTCCTTCGCGCTTTGGGCCTCCTATAAGGGTTATAGAAACCCTTATATTAACTTCATCCTCTTACTTACTTCATCCTCTCTATTTGGGTATTAAATCTCTTTTACCCTTCATTTCAGGAAGTTCGTGTGGAAAATGTTCTGCAAATCACTACCCTGAACTCTTTGGCCTTTCCCGATGATTATCTAGTGGCTCAGGGTCCGAGATCCTCCATTGTCAAGGCTGAAAAGTATTTCAATAACACCCTGACCGCGAATTCGGTGGATACAGATGGTTATATTAACGGGCAGAACCCTGTGGATGCCATTACCCTAATGCATGGTCAGGAATGGTTGGGATCACCGGTTTTTAATCAATTGGAGGTGTCGGAAATACTGGAGGTATGTGGAAAATAATATCAAATACATATTCTATGGAGATTTTAGCTTTCCCCCCTACAGCTCAATGGCACTGCCCATGGCCGTAATGTGGCAAATTTCCCCGCAAATCCTACCCTGGAGGAATCGAATGTCATTGAAGCGGATTGTGTTTTTAATGAGCTGGAGGTTAATGGGCCAATTGTCATCAAGGGTGATCTGGATGAGAGACCTTTGGGAGAGCTACTCACACAGATTTTGCAGAGACCTGAGGATCCCAATGAAGATGTTGTGGTGGAGGCTTCGAAGTCATTTTCCTTAATCAGGATGCCAATAGATTTTGAATTGGAAGAGAATCGAATTAATAATATCACCACGGAGAAATTTGTTACGGTGCATACGCCTCAGGTTTTGGAACTCAGCAACCTGGAAGGGTATGTCTACTTTTATAATCTCACGGTAAAAGGTCTCTACGATGGCCTAAGGATTGAAGATGTGGTTCGTGATGTCATCAGTTTAGATAAACCTTTGGATTTGAGTAGCACCCAACTGATATTTGAAGATCCCCTGCAGGCGGAATCCTTAATTGTATTGGATAAAATCAATGGTGTCAATATCAAGGATAGCCTGCAAAGCCTCCACGAAGATCTGATTGTGGAGACGGCGGAATTTGAGAATCTCCAGGCCACCACCGCTGAGTTTTCCGATGATATTATGGGTCCGGGGAAATTGAATAATATCGAGCTGCATGATTTCGTCAAGGAGCGGTCGTGGCATGAACCTTCGGTTCAGGGTAATCTCTTTCTTAATGAACTCCAGGCCCATCAGGGTCTGCAGGCGGATGAGCTGCATGGTATTAATGCGGAATATTTATTGGATTTCCTACAACGAATTGAAGAACTACCAGAAATGGTATTGAATGGTCAGATCCAAGTAGATCACATCACCGTGACCGGTGATGTCCAGGTTCATAAGTTGAATGGTCAGCAATTCGATGAGGATATACAAATGTCCGCAATATGGTTGAATCGGCCCAATCATTTGAACACCAAGCTAACCTTCAAGAATCCGGTGGATATTCAAGGTAACCTTGTGGTGAAGGGGAAATATCAAGGCCTACCGCTCAGGGAGTTTTTGGAGGATATGGTCTTACGAGACTCTAATACGACCAGGAATATTATCAACTCCCCCAAAAGTTTTATTAAACCCGTTTATGTGCTGGAGAATACCCAGGTTGAGGCCTTGAATGGTGTGCCCTTCACCAATATTGCCCTGAAGACCCAGGAGAACATTTTCCCCGGTTCCCTGAAAATCAAAGGCAAACTGATTACGCCTCACCTGGAGGTCCAGGGCCAGGTTAACGACTTGGATTTTGAAAATCTACAGGACGTTCTCTATTACGATGCCAAAGAAAACAATTTCATACTCAAAGGTCTCACGGAATTCGCTGAACCTCTCGAAGTACAAGATCTCACAGTCCTCGGAGACTTCATGGAGTTGCGCAACCTCAGCGATTTCTTTGAAAATCTGATTTATAAATCCCAACCCTGCCATTTGCAAGGTAAAAATAATTTCACCGGCAGGGTAGCAATTGTCCAGGGGGCATATATCGAACACCTGAACGATTTAAATCTCCCAAATCTATTTCAAAAACTTAGTTTTATACAAGGTCCGGAACCTTTGGTCATAACATCACCTCTGGTGTTTGAGGCTCCCACGCGGGCCAAACAGCTTTCCATACACAAATCTCTAAAAGCGGGGCAGCTCAGCAACTGTTCCCTGGCGGAATGGTTAAATGACACACTAAGGTTGGATCAGGATCAATATATACCACGTAAGGTTACCCATTCACTTCCGATTTTTTGTACATCCTTCGATTTCCTATCTCTCTCCACCTTTTTCAGATTATCTACACTTTGCCCCGGGTTCTTTGGACGGGAACTCCTTAAATGTTGCCTTCATTAATAACTTGGACTTGTCCCGTGTAATAACTCTCAATACCCCGCAGATTTTCAATGAATCGCTGCAGTTTTCGGAATTATACCTTCAGGATGGTTTTATAGAAGTAAATGGTTCGGTGAATGGCCTGGATTTGGAAGAGGAGTACAACAACACCCTGATGGTAAGTTATATATTAGAAAAGAAGAACCAGGGGGGAAGAAGTCGGGGTAATGGTAGAAGGATTTGTGTATACACAAACTGAGAAAGGGTCAGTTAATCCCTATTGAGGAACTGAGTATTCTGAGAATATCTTTAGGCGATCAGGAGAGCCAGTGAGCCTTACTTGTCTCTCAGCTTTTCTCCACAGACTTCCCGGCTTCACAGCTGTCCTGCTAGGACTCCTTAGCCTCAAGCCTTTCTCGTCAACATACTGCCTCAGAACTCTTCTGTATGGACCTCTTGATTTCTCACCGAACTGCAAGATAAAGTGTTGATGATCAGGAGAATCAGTGAATCAGGCCACTGAACCTCTATTACAAAGATGCAAAGTCATGGAGTCCGACAAACTGAAAGATCCCGGGAATCCGTGAGGACGATTTGGAGTTGCCTGTGAATCTCTGTTGACGATCGGAAAGGCCTGTGCTTTAGTTCAGACGAACTAAAGGGGTCTGGGAATCTTTCTAGAAAAAATGAACTCAGAGAGTATTTGTAGGGGATTTGAAGAGACACCGAGTTGATCGGGATGACTTGAAAAGTCAAGGAGTGGTGTGGTCTCTGCAGATGAATTGAAGGGAAGAGGGAATCGCTTTAGACTAACGGAAGAGGTTGTCGGGTTAATATAAGCAGAGTGAAGGGTCGATGATCCCTTATAATCGATTTGTGGACAAGCTGGTAGGATCTGAGAGGCTTTGAAAATGATCTGGAGGGATATAATGGGGAAACAACGAATCCAGGAAGGCCTGTCAGAAGCTAAGGAATCTCTTTAGATTAGCAAAACGAACAAACTGAAGTACCCAGGATAATTGAATTGAAGGTTCGATGAGAATCTATGGACGAACTTATGGCGTCATAGTGTTAATACAGACAAAATGAAGAGTCTAGAGGGCCTATATAGAGTGGAGTGAGTCCAGAAAGGTTTGCTGAAGGCCAAATGAATCTCTGTATATGAGCTGAGGGTTAACAAGCCTCGGCAGCCTATCTTAAGACTTCAGATAGTTTTTATTGTTGAACTGAAAGGATCAGGGTGGTTTACAGAAGAAATAAATGTCCAACAAGTCGATTCAGATTATTTGAAGGTTAATATCCGTGAACCAGAGAGTTTTTACAGGATCTCCGAGTCCTCGATGGCTTATAGAGTTTACACAGACAATCGAAGAGGCCAAGAAGTTTGTATTGACGGAGGACCAGTAATTGGAAACAATTTTTGAAAAAATGGCCCGGTAAACCTTAAAAGGACCAAGGATTCTCCACTAAATAGCCTAAAGAGCTAAGGAGACAAGCTGGAGGATAAGCGAGTCTTTAGCCTACAGCTTGAGTCTTGCAGAAACTCCTTTGTGCTACGAACTTGTATGTAAAAAATCATTGAATGTTCCGATGGCCACTCAACCAGTCGGCACAGTCTTCGTGGGCCTTTACTCGTGTTTCGAACTCATCTGTAAAGAATCTCTGTTCGTTCAGCTGGTCTCTCAACTAGAATTCCTGGTCCTTGTTCTTCAAGTTGATACTCAAAAATGTTCGCATACGTGTTTAGGAACCAGTTAGTCAATATCTCAGCTGATGTATATGGATTTCATAACCTTCATCTACCCTGCAAAGACTCTCTTAATCATAGTAGAACGACTGGCGCCTCAGTTCTTAAAGAACTTCGTTGTCTTCGACTTCAATATTGAGGTTCCAGTTGTCTTCATAGAGAAGCTAAGTACTTTTTGAGCTTCAGCTGACCTTTAAAAATCCCTGAGCCTTAATTTCATCTAATACTGCAGGTCCTGAACTTGAACCACGAATAAATATCAAGATTCATATTTTGTTTAATTATCAACCAGAAAACTGTGTTCTTTCATTCTCTTAAATTTCGCCCCTCTCCCTAATAGTCTCTCACATCGTCCATAGAACTGCTATAGTTTTTCCCTCAATTCGTCTATTACCTGGCTCTTGAGCTTCCCAGGCCTTCATACAGAACTCAGGTTTAAAATAATGACAAATTTCTAATTTTTATTTCAATCCTTTCTTCCCTTTTGCAGATCTATGGCGGCCAACACATAACCACACCCCTAACAATACAATCCATCAGGGTCCTTAAAGATCTGCTGATTTTGGGTACGGTTAATGGCAATAAAAATCTCAGTGATGTTGCCACCTTGCAGGAGGATTTGGTATTAAAGTCGCCCATCTATTTCCATTCCCTCTACAGCCCTCAAGTGATAACCGATGATTTGGTTACCGGCATCGATTTAGATAAATGGTTCAAGACTACGGTGAAGGCCCATTCGCTAGAAAAACAAATTGTAAGCGGAAATTGGTCAGCCAGAAGTTTGACGGTAAAGCAAGACCCCAATGAATTTCAATATTCGGCATTTGGAGGTTATGATCCCTGGACTTATGAACAGTTTATGAGATATCGACGGCAATTGGGCGCCAAGGGAGTAATGGAGGAAAATGAGAAGGAGGAAATTTGTGAAATGTTGAGGCAGATGTGGCTACAAATCGAACTGAAAACTGTGCGCATAAAATATGTCGAGGAGAGTTTCTTTATGGAGGTGGATAGCTTGAGAATTTTGGAAAATGTCAGTGGATCGCATAGGAAATTTTTCCAAATGCCTCACAATGGAGATGATTATTTGTTGCTAAATGAAGAGTGTAAATCGCGTATTTATCAATGGATGCCCGAGGAACGGCGTTTTAAATATCTCCATTCCTATGATTCGGGTCCGATTGCAGAGGTCATGGTCTTGCCAAATCCAAATTCTACAGAGTTGCAATTCATTACGAATTATGAGAGCACTGAACCCATGAATTGTTCGCTGAGTAAGGGTATAACCGTGTGGAATTCGCGGGATAATGAAACCTCACCGGAGAGGTTTTATTTCGAAGATGTTTGGGATATCCAGAGAAGTAACAATTCTGGGATCTCGATTCTGGTTTTAAATCGCGATGTGGTAAGGGAATTGGATTTGGCCACCTTTGAGACCATTAGGAAATGGAAGGTACAATTTAAGGAACGCGTGCCGAATAAAAATTACAGGTTCGTGAAATTATCAACCAGATGCCCATGTCTTTTGGTCACAAATGGCATGGAAATTGTCCCATTGACGGAAATTAAAAGAAAGTCGAAAATTAAAAAGGATATTGGGGAGAATGAGGAGGAGAATAGTTCGGAAGACGATGATGAACCATCCTATGTACAAATCCCCTCCACCTTGGAGCTATTTGAATACGAAAGCATTTCTCTATTGAAACCCAATGAATCTGTGACAAATATCCTGCGATTCTCCGATTTTCCATGGGTTCTGCAACGCATGCTCTTGGATTTGAGCACCAAATTAAATCAACAGATCAACATCACCCAGTTGAGCATACCCGAATCGGATCTCTTTGATGAGTATTTGATACCAGATTTTATTGGCATCATGGAGGAACTGGAACACCAGCAGATCTACGATAAGGATCTCTTGAATATCACCTTTAGCAACATATCCCTACCTGAAACTCCGGGTCAGGTTCTAACTGCCCAGGTCATACAAATTGTATGGCCTTTTGCCGAAGATCTGCAGGCTATGCAGAGCCAAATGAATCAAACCCATAACCTCACGGAGTATGAAGACATCAAAAATTCCCTGGCCATATTTATATCCTCGATTCTACAGGAGAGCAATAAAAATACCTCTGGGGATCACTCCGAAGATCTCTTTAAAACCATACAAAATATTCGAAAATTCGATAAAATACTACACAACTTCTTAACAGTCCTCAAAAACACCACCCACTCCGAACAGGAAGCCGATAAAATGCTCTACTCCGCCACAACACATCGCGAAAGAATCTTCACCAACATACCCCTGCTAGGCAATCAAAAAATACCCCGCTCTCCCGAACTAATTTCCCTGCAAGTGGGTAGCATAAATAACTCCCGTCCCCTCTTGGCCTTAACGAAAATCTCCTCCGCCACCCTAATACCGGGACAAGATTCCGCCATATATTTATATGAACAAGATTTTCAGGAGACACCCTTGCAGATCATAAATGCTCAGGATCCACACTCCTTAATACAATTTCGCCTGAAGCAGGAAACTCTTCTCCTGTTCATCGAAAATTGTTGTGAAATTCAAGTGTGGCGTTATCATGGTACTCAGGGTTTCGTATTATTTGCGAAATTCTCCGAGGAGAAGGAAATCGAACAAATTGCCACAATTAAACTTCCGAGCGCAGAACGAGAGGAGAAATATTATTTGGTAATGTTGACGGGAAATAAATTGAAATTTCATGAAATTGTCGTGGAGGGTATAACACAAACTCCGCCACCCTTACCATGTCCATGAGGTGCTGGCGGATTTTTTGTAAAGGAAAAAGGAATACGAATTCCGAACCTCTGTAAATAAAAAATGTAAAATTTTTGTAAATATAAAATTATTTGTTGTTTCATTTTTAGAGTAAAAAACCAGGGATTTTGAATCTCAGTAAGTCTCTACCTCTCTGAAGCTCTAACAGTATCAGAGATTTTAAATATGCGGTCTAACATAGGTGAGCTGAAGTTCTGAGAGCTTCAAAAGCTGAGCGACCAGTCATGCGAAATATCCGACACTTCAGCTCAACATACACTTCGCGTCAAATGGCTCCCGAACATCTATACAAACTAGCTGACCCTTCAGCTCATCATACTTCATCCGCATTTCTTCTCTGGTACATCAGTTTAAATATTCAGACATCCTGACACCTCAGCTCTTTTATATAGGTCCGATGAAAATGTATATAGCCTCTCCTCTATGGTATAAGTAGACCTTCACATTAACTAGACAGACAACTCAGCTACTTTGTATAGCATAGCAGACCCCTAAGCTGTATCCTCGCTTAACCCACAGCTCACATTCAAAGACACACTGACTCCTCAACATACCTTTAACAGAAAACTAATTTGTATAGGTTCCCTGACAACTCAGCTCATCTCATCTCACCTGACCCCTCAACCTGATTTGTACAGGCACAATGACCAAACAGCTCATATAAAATGACATTCTGACCCTCCGCAGAGACGCTGACCCCTCAAATCATCTGTGTAGACACGATGAGCCAACATCTTCGTTACTGAAACGCTTGCTGACTCCTCAGTTTCTCTGTACAGCCACTCCGACCCCTTAGCTCATCCATACCGCAACGCTGATCCCTTACCTCATCTGTACAGGCACTCTGACCCCTTAGCTCATCTGTAGATTCGCTGACCCTTCAAGCCTATCTACACAGATACGCTGACCCCCGAAATCATCTGTGTAGGCTCGCTGACTCCTCAGCTCATTTGTGAAGGTTCGCAGACCTCTCAAACTCATCTCTGTAGGCTCGCTGACTTCTCAGCTCATCAGGGTAGGCTTGCTGACTCCACAGTACGTCTGTGTAGGCTCGCTGACTTCCCAAGCTCATCTCTAAAGGCTCGTTGCTGACTTCTCAGTTCATCTGTGTAGGCTCGATGACTCCTCAAATCATCTATCTACCCGCACTGACTCCTGAACTCATCTGTTCAGAAACACCGACCCTTCAACTTCGTCTGTGTAGGTTCTCTGACTCAGCTCATCACGGTAGGCTCGCTAACTCCACAGTACGTCTGTGTAGGCCCACTGACTTCCCAAGCTCATCTCTAAAGGCCGCTCTGATTTCTCACTTCATCTGTGTAGGCTCGCTGACTCCTCAAATAATCTATCCACCCCACTGACTCCTCAACTCATCTGTTCAGAAACACTGACCCTTCAACTTCATTTGTGTAGGTTCGCTGACTCCTAAACTCATCCGATACGCTGATCCTTAAGGTCGTTTGTGTAGGCTCGCTAATTTTTCAGGTCATCAATGTAGGCTCGCTGACTCTTTAACTTATCTGTACAGATACTCTGACCCCTGAAGCATATCTACGTAGGCTCGCTGACCCCTCTGCTCATCTGAGTTGGATCTCTGACTCCTCACGTTAACCCAACAGCTCTTCTGTACCGATACGCTGACCCCTCAAGCTCATCTCTAAAGGCTCGCTGACTTCACAACTCATCTGTGTAGGTTCGTTGACTCTTCAAATCATATATCTAGGCTCACTGACTTCCCAGTTCATCTGTAAAGAAAATTTGAATCTTCTAGCTCATCTATGAGGCTCGCTGACTCCTCAGCTCTTCTGTAAAGACACACTGACCCATAAAATCATCTATAAAGTGACGCTGGCTCAATATCTTATATGTTAAGACAGGCTTACCCCTCAAGCTCATCTGTGTAACGCCGCTCACTTCTCAGCTCACCTGTGCAGGGGCGCTGACTTCTCAGCTTATATGTATAGACACGCTGACTACTCACCATTAGTTTATCTGCCCAGACAAGCTGACCCTTTTGCTTATATGTACATACACTTTGACCCCTCAATTTTTTTGTGTAGGATCGTTGACCCCTCCGATAAATTCTACCCACACGCTGACGCCTTAGTTCATCTCCACGGGTAAGGTGACCCCTCGTATCGTATGTACAGATAACCTTGAGGATCCAGGTTACAAACTCCCTGGCCCCTCAGCTGGCGTGTACATATTCGCTAGCCTCTCAGCTCGTCTGTTCAGACTAACCGACTTCTCAGTTCAGTCTATAAATACTCGCTAGCCTCTGTCTCTACAAACTCCTCGGCCTTCATATTTTCTAGACAGCCTCGTTGGCCTTTCCCCAGGCAAAAATTTCGTAGTCTCAGAGTTTTTTTCCTCAACTCTCATTATGGACCTTCAGTTCGTATCGCTTGTGTCAAATTTATTTTGGGCAGACTTCACGGACCTCAGCTTATGATTACAAACTCTATTGTCCCTCCGCTTATCAGAACAAGCTTCCGCGCCCCGTAACATGTCATCTTGATCCTCTCAGCTAAAGTCTACTCACACACTGATGCCTCAGCTCATCTGCGCAGACACACTGATCTCTTATCGTTGGTTCAGATGAGCCTTAGTGAACCAGCTATTCAAACAATACGCGATAAATCGGTCTTGTTTGTACGAACGCACAGACTCCGTGGTCTCAAAGTTCTTTCCTTATCCTTTCCGCTTGTCGATAAAGACTGCATAGGTTTTCTGCTCGTATCGCTAACTACTAATTTATCCTGTGCAGATTTCTTGGTAGTCAGCTCGGTCTTACCGACTTTATGGTATCTCCGCTTATCAGAACAGACTACAAGGTCCCAAAGCTCGTCTTCTCTATCCTTTGATCACACTGCCCTCTCAGTTCAGTTTGTATACATTCTCTGATCAGTCAGCACCTCCGAACAGTCTTCCTTGATTCCTCGCTCACATATACCGTGGTCTCAGGGCTTCTTTCCTCGACCTCAGCTCTTCTATAAAGACTATGTGGACCTTCAGCCCGTTTTGCTGGCCTTTAATTTATCCTGTGCGGATCTCTTGGCCCTCAGCTTGTGATTACAGACTCCGCATATCAGAAAATACTCCCCTGTCCCGAAGCTCTTCTGCATGATCCTCTGAGTCTCCTCTCAGAGTCTTAAGACCATTCAGACATGTTTTTAATTATCAACCAGGAACTTGTGTTTCTTTCTTCTATTAAAATATACGATATGCTCCCTTCGCTCTCTCTCTCTCTCCCGTCCGCTCTCTTGCAATAAAAATTCTGATTTTTTCTTTAAAATTTTTATTTTATTTCTTAGAAATTGATTTACCATAAAAATCAGCCTTACCACTACTTATAAAAAATCGTTTGTTAAAAAAAAAATGTGACTTATTTCATTCTCTCTTAATTGTTCTCTTCATTTTCTCTGGACTCTCTTAAAATGTAAATTTTTACTATTTCTTTTATTGTAGAGTAGATTTTTTTCTTTAATAAATATTACTATAAAACTAATAATTGCAACAACAATAAGAAGAAGAGAAGGACAAAAAAATTCCACTAGATTCCGTTTTGATTTGTAAAAATCCCCCCAGAGGAGGGTCTTTAAGGTTTCTGCGGATCTTTTTTTCAAGTACAGCTTATATTGTAGGTATATATTTACAAAGTTTGTGTGAGTGTGTGTCTAAAACTAACCATAGCTACCCTGTCCTATTCGTAGAAAAACTTATCTAAGGTATTTTCACTGGTAAAAATAATCGAGGATCTCCAATTTTCGGACTTAAGCGTACCACAACCTGATCATCACCATCGCCCACTTCTAGGAAACTATTCCAATCGGCCAGGAAATAGAAACCATTTTTCTTTTTGGGTGGTGGTGGTGATTCGGTAACCGGATCCGGGCCAAAGGAATCTTCGAGGTCCGCCAAAGAGCCATTACGTGGCTCTTCGGTGGTTGTTGTGGTGGTAGAAGTGGTGGTGGAATCTTGACTCTCCGTTCTCTGTGTTACCTCTCCCAAATTCAGATTCAATTGTACCCTTGTGGGATTTGCCATGCTGCTATCTTGTGTCACCGGGCTTGTGGCCTCGGTAGATTCATCACTTTGCCTTCGGGTTTTCACCGTATCATCTTCCGGCTTTTGGGTGCGCTTTAGTGACTCCAAATACTGGGCATCGGCCTGCCTTAGCAGCTTATCATTACTGCTGATGTTCAGCTTTTGTAACTCCTCCAGATTTTTAATTAGCCTTTGTAGCTCACTTAGGTTTTGGGTGAAATCTACTTCAGGTTCCTTGGGTTTGGCAGTGGTTTGCTCTTCACTAGGGAGTACACCCTCCGGCAGGGCCATTTGGTAGTTGAATTCACTAAAATCAGCCACCATATCATCATCACTGTCTGCGAACTGTAGATCCTCCACATTGTCGTCGGCCCGTCTACGGAAACCTTCACCGCCTGGGAATTCGGTAGAGACCCCTATTTGATTGGCAGCCCTCTTTATGGCGGCCTCAATGATTTTCGTGGCACTGAAGACCGGTTTTTCCACCGTACTTTCCGTGGTGGTCTTGGGTGGCCTAGGGACCAGGGATTTCATGGTGGTCAGGGAGAAGACGGCGGTTTTCTCTGAAATCCTTTCATCTTGCTCAGGAGATTCTGTGGTGGCCCGGAACACTGGCCGTATATTGGCCAGGTCCAAGGGTTTATTTAATTCCAAACTTTCAACGGGTTTTTCAAACTTCGTTTCCAATTTCTCCGTCAATTCCTTAGGCAAACTTATGCCCAACTTCTTGAGTTCCTGGGCATTGTTGAGTAGCTTTTGCAGTTCCTCCAAATTCATTTTTTCCTTGGCCACAACATGGTTGACCTCCAAGGGTCCCTTGGTGGCCACAAAACGTGGAGGTTCTTTGGTTACGGTTTTGTGTATCATTGGAGGTTGGAGATCCTTGTAGGCATTGCCCTCCACATAGGGTTGGGCATAGACAATTTCCTTGAGCTCCTCACTTGAAGTTTGAGGCTCTTGGCGTGGTGGATTTTTCTGGCTATTGAAGTTAGTTTGAGGTCTCTCCAGGGTTTGTTTGTAGGTTGGCAGGTCAAGACGCAGATCATCGGCCTCTGCGTCCTTCAGTAACATTTCCTCAAACTGTTTATAGCCCTTATCCTTGGTGGAGGTTAGGGGTTCAACCTCCTCGTAGCTCATTTTGTGATTGGGATAAACAATTTGGGCGCCATTTAACTTCTGGACATTCTGGGTCCTTTGCGAGGCGGCACTTTGCAAAGCAGAGGGTGTTGGTGTCACCTCTCTTTCATTTTTGGTCCTGGGATTAGGTGTGGGCAGGTTGATCCTAACTCGCTCCAATTCCTGCACCTTGCTGAGTAATTTCTGCAGCTGCACAAATTCATTGGCATCCACCTGAGAGAGACTACTTCCCGATCCCGTATCATTGGTTATGTCAATTATCCTCTGGGCAAAGTTCTGCGATCGCTTTGTGGTCGTGTCGTAGAGCTCCTCATAGGCCTTGGCTGCTGTGGCCTTGGTGGAAATTTCCACCTCACCATATTGTGCTCGCTGCTGGGCCTGCTCCACTTGAGAGTAGAGGGTTCGTAAATTGGCAAAATCATTGACGGGTAAACGATAATCCTCGGCCTGGGGAGCCTTCACATTGCGTGTGGTGAAACCTTGTAGCGGGGAGAGTGGAGTATCTGTGGCTAGAGGTGGAGGGAGGTGATTGGCGGGGTGGTTATTTAGACGCTCCAATTGCTGCACCCTGTTGATGAGTTCCTGTAACTGCAACTGATCAGCTGATTGCTTTTTGGGGCGTTCTTCATCGAAGGTCCGAACCACAGGCCGGGGAGTGGTGGTTGTTGTCGTCGTGGTGGTTGAGGTTGTGGTCGGTGCTGGTGTTGTCGTGGTGGTGGTTGTGGTCGTGGATGTGGTGGTTGTGGGAGCAGGTGTCGTTGTAGTAGTGGTGCTGCTGGTGGTGGTACTGGTTCCACGACTATTCAATTCCTTGAAATATTTCTGCAGTTCCACCAATTCATTGAGCGATGGACCGGGTCTCTTTGTGGTACTTGTGGTGGTCGAGGTGGAGGTGGTGACGGGTTTCTGTTGCTGCTGTCTGGCCTTGGCCTGATTGAATAACTTCTCCAGTTCACTATCATCGGTTAGGAGTTTGCGTAGCTGCCAAATATCTGTGGGTCCCAATTGGGCATCGAGATTTCCCACCGGCCTCTTGGTGGAGGTGGTTGTGGGCTTCTTCGTGGTCGTAGTTCTCTGCTCCAGACCCTGTAGCTGCTGTAGCACCTGCTGAAGCTGCAGTAAATCCGCTGGGGAATTATGACCACTCTGACGCACCTGTTGCTGAAGCAGTAGCAGCTGTTGTTGAGGTGTTAGGGCATTAAATTTGGCCAGGGAGGGGACTACTGGAGTCCTTGTCGTCGTGGTGGTTGTGGTCTTAGCATTCGCCCTTTCCGCTGCCTGCAATTGTTGCAAAACCAATTGCAATTGTTGTAGATCCGGTTGGGTTTGACCCTGTCGAACCTGCTGCTGCAGTTGGAGTAAATGTTGCTGCGGTGTCAGACCGCCCGATGAGGCGAAACGATTCGCCAGGGTTTGTGCCTCTACTGAGGAGGCAGTGACGGGTGCTGGTGTAATTGCGGCCACGGGTCGTGATGCCTGGCCGTTACTACCCTTGGGAGTGGGTATTACACCGCGCAAGACGGCTTGAGGTTTCACCTGCAGATTTTCTAGTTCCTGTAGATTTTTCAATAGCTGACTTAGCTGATCTCCCTGACTACCCTCCGTCTGATGATTGCCTTGGCTACCAAAATTTATATCAAAATTGGGATCAATTCTGCGGCGTGGTTTTTTGGGCTCAATTAGCAGAGGTTCCCCATTGGTGATCAAGGGTTGGGGAGTTGTGGTTGTCGTAGTCGTTGTGGTGGTGGTGCTGGTAGTGGTTCTGGGGGTCGTTGTGGTCCTTCGAGTGGTGGTCGTGGGTCTGGGTGTGGTTATCACAGCCTTGGGGTTAACATTTAACCTCTCCAATTCCCTGAGATTCTCCAGCAGCTTTGCCAATTCCGTTTCACTGCTGCTTCCGCCACTTCCTGAGGCACTCTTCTTACCCTTGACAGTATGACCCGATGGCACCTTGGCCGTGGCCACTTCACTACCCTCACCCAATTGTTCGAGAGCATTTTGTGTGGTGGCCGCAGCTTCGTTTTTCTTAATCGCCTTCCGCTTCCGACCACCCACAATGCCGAACCGCGTTAAATAACCCTCCACTTCGGGTTTGACACGAATCTCTTCGCCAATATTCAAAGGCTTGAACATGGAATAGGCATCAGGTTTAATTTTGGGAGCCAAACTTTGCTGCTGAAGACCTTTTAAATCCGCCACGCTAACCACCTGTGGAACCTGGGCACTTTCCGCTGCATAATAGTCCTCATAGACATCCTTGTGCCGGGATTGGGTTTGACTTACAATACCCATGGACTCGAGAATGTCAGCCACTGGTTTAATGGTGGAGGTCGAGGGCGCAGTGGACTTCTTTTGCTTCCCCAAGGCCATTTTTAGGAACTCCACATCTTTGGCACTGTAATGGCTGCTGAATCGCTGAGCCGATTTGGGGGTTTGGTTGTCATAGGCATGATTCGAGGGAAAATCTGTGGCCAAGGGTTTAAAGGGCGCGATGTTGTCCGCTGACGGTGTCATGCGATATAGCACAGAGGGAGGATTCGAAGGATGATATGTTGTGGGATTTGGGGCCATAGCTTGAGGTTGCTTTACCACATAGTTGGGTTTATAGGTTGTGGGATCCATCATACCCACCGGTATGGATTCCATTTTACCTTCATTCTGTCCTGAAGGTGTTAGAAATTGTATGGGCTGATGAGAGGTATAGGAATCGATGACTTTGGTTACCGGGGGACGGGTGAAAAGTTCCTGCGGGGAAAATAAATATTAAAAAGGGGTTTCTAGGGATCGTCGGAGGTTCTCTGGCTACCTGTAAATTCTCCTCGGTATTGTTATCTGTGTTGTAGGGCAACACCAGCATCAGAGCACGCATGCTGTCCGCTCGCACCTTATCACCGGCTGCCAGACTTTTTTGATACTCCTCACGGGTAACCTTCTCGTAGAGTTCCTCAATTTCACCTCTGAAAATCGGGGGAGAGAAAGGAGAGAGAATTAATTAAAAGAGCTCAAGAGATGAACTTCCGAACATAAGGAATTTTAACTATCAAAACTTCCTTCGGAAGTGAAAACATTATTTTCAGAAGCAGAAACTTGATTCCCATTTACCTTGTCAGCCGGGGCAGGCTAGGATCTTGATTTAAAATCTGCTGGACCTCATTGATGGTTTCCTCCAGAACCTCGGGAGCATCTAAATATGACGAACGTTCGACATGTTGCAGCAAACGGGCCCTCAAATCATTTCGAGCCGCCAGACTAGGATATGAGCACACGAGGTAAGGTAACAGCGAGCAGAGGAGTAGTGACCACATCATGGGCCGTAATATTTTGAGAGGATGTCTCATGGCAAAGGCTGTAAAGAAAAAAATAGAAAAAATTATTAATTACCTCCTCACATCTTTCCCAACTCCTGTCATCTGTCACACAACACAATTTTTAATGGCTTTTGGAAAGGAATCGCCAATCTCTTAGTAATTTACTCATCATCATCATCGACCTGGTTCGCTGGGGGGCCTTACAACTTGTTTGAATGGCGTCTCGAACATTCAAGCGCTTCTAATTGTTTATTGAAAATCCGCTTCGTTTTTCTTCTTCTTCGTCGGCAGATTAATTACAGTTTATGGCCTAGCGTCAGTCCGACCAGCTATTATTACACCATGAATGGCATGGAAAGGCAGGTAAACAGGTTAAAAAAAAAAAACAAAAAAATTGACGCCAATCATAACCGTCTCCATGGATAGTTATTTAGATTTTGTAATAGTGACAGGAAGCCAGAGGTTGACAGCAGGTAAACAAATTAATTGAGGTTGTTGTTGCTGTTGGCATGGGAATATCCGCAAGGGAAATAAGAAAAAAAACTTAGGAGACCCGATAACAATATTAAAATAATGCAAAGATATGTCCGGTCACCGAAAGAGTAACTGGAGCCTTTGGGAGTCCATTTGAGCATTTGGAAGATCAGGAAATCCACATAGAAAATTTTAAGACCTTAAGTAAGTCTTCTCTGGTTCGCAGTGAGCCTTTATGATATAGCTGAAGCCTCTGGGAAGCTGTTTAGGGCATCTGCGGATTGAAAGAAGCTCTACAAGTCTATACAATGTTCGCCGGGGTCACTGGAAGCCTCTACGAGCAAGCTGAAGCTTCAGGAATGTAATCTAAGACAGCTGAGACCATAACGAAGCTCTACAAATCAATACGGCAGAGATAATGATCGGAAAGTACCTCTAAATAGAGACAATTTAGGCGAAGTCGCCAAACAAAACCTCAAGGCCTTGTGTAAGTTCTCTCTGGTTCACTAGGAGCCTTTACGAGCAAGTTCAAGCACCAGGAAAGCTGTCTAAGGTTTTTGAGAACGGAATGGAGCTCTAAAAAGTTCAGGCAGGCGAGGAAATGCTCAGAAAGTGTCTCTATATATATAGACAATACGAACAAAGTCGCCACACAAAATCTGAAGACCCTATGTAAGATCGCTCTGATCACTAAGAGCATTTATGGGCTAGCTGAAGCACCAGCAAATCTGCCCATGGCATATGATAACGTAATGGAGCTCAAAAATGTCAATACAGGTGAGGTTGTGACCCGAAAGTTCCTCTAGATATGCGAACGAAGTCATCGCACATAGCCTAAAGACCTTGTGTAAGTTTTCTCTGCTTCACTGGGAGGCTTTACGTGCTAGCTGAAGCACCAGAAAATTTGTACATGGCATCTGATAACGTAATGGAGCTCAAAAATTCAATACATCGGATCTGGTGACCCCAAAAGTGCCTCTAGATAAAAGAAATTCGAATGAAGTCGTCGCACATAACCTGAAGATCTTGTGTAAATTCTCTCTGGTTCACTGGGAGCCTTCACGATCTAGTTGAAGCCCCAAAAAAAGCTGTCTAAGCTATCTGAGATTGCATGGAAGCTCTAAAAGTCAATACAGCCGACCAGGAGCTCCGAAATGTCCTCTAGATATAGAAAATGTGAACAAAGTTGTCGCACATAATTTGAAGACTTTGAATAAGTTCTCTCGGGCGCCACAGGGAGCCTTTACGAAGTAGCTAAAGCCTCAGGAATGTTATTTAAGGCATCTGAGAATGGAATGAATCTCCACAAGCCAAAACAACGGATCTGATGACACGAAAGTGCCTCTAGATATAGAAAATATGAACCAGAGGGACATACACAATGAAAAGACCTTATGTAAGTCCTCTTAGGATTATAGATAGACTTTACGAGCTAGCTGAAGCCTCAGGAATGCTACATAAGGCAGCTGAGGTCGGTCTAAAGGCTATACAGGAGAACTGAAGCTCAGAAAGTTACTCTATATATTGAAAAAGTTAACCAGGTCGACATTCACAACCTCAAGACCTAGCTGAAGCCTCAGGTAAGCTGCTTAAGGCATCTGAAAACTTTACAAGGTTGCTAAAGCCTTCGGAAAGCTGACTAATACAGCTTAGATCGGTCCGAAATTTGAAAAGTCAGTGTAGGAGATTTATAGTCCAGAAAGATCCCGAACCTGGAGGACATTTACAATTTGCAGACCTCATGTAAGTTCTTTATGGTTCACTGGGAGCCTCCACGAGCTAGCTAAAACCTCAGGAATGCTATCTAAGCCTTCTGGGAATGGAATGAATCTCCACAAGCCACAACAACGGATCTGATGACCCGAAAGTGCCTCTATATATAAGAAATGCAAACGAACTCGACACACATAACCTGAAGACTTTGAGTGAGTTCTCTCAGATGCCACGGGGAGCCTTTAAGAGCTACCTGAAGCTTCAGCATTGCTGTCTAAGCCATCTGAGAACGGAATGAATCTCTGCAAGCCAAAACAGCGGAGCTTGAAAGCTGTCTAAGGTATGTGAGGTTGAAACGAAACTCTAAAAGTAATTACAGGAAAGCTGGTGATCAGTTGATGACATAGAAAAAAATGAACGAAGTCACCTTACAAAACCTATAGATGCTGTGTAAGTTCTCCCTGGATCACTGGTGGCCTCTACAAGGAAATTGAAATCTCAGGAAAGCTGTTTAAGGTATCTGAGATTGTAAGAAAGCTCTAAAAGTGTATCGGTGACCAACTGAAATGCGAATGAACTCGACACACATAACATGAATACCTTGTGTAAGTTCTCTCGGGCGCTACAGGGAGCCTTTACGAGCTAGCTGAAGTCTCAGAAATGCTGTCTAGAACGGAATGAATCTGTGCTAGCCAAAACAGCGGATCTGGTAATCTGAAAATGCCTTCAGATATCGAAACTATGGACGTAGTCGACACACATAGGTCATAGTTGTGCGCCACAGGGATCCTTTACGTGCAAGATGAAGCCTCAAAAGAGCTGCCTAAGGCATCTGAGATCGCAAGGAAGTTCTACAAGTCAATGTAACCGAACTGGAGATCAGTTGATGCCTCTAGAAAAAATTAACGTAGCCACCCTAAAAACTTATAAATCTTATGTAAATTCTCGCGTGGTCACGGGGAGGCTTTAATGGGTCATCTGAGGACCAAAAATGATGTAGAAAATTTTTTTTTGAAAAATAGGAGCCCTTTAAAAGTCTTTACAAAAAATATTTTTTTTTTGTTTTGTATAAATACACGTCAACCAAACATATTTTTAAAAAATTCCGGTCTATGATAGGCTATGAAAAAAAATATTTTTATAAAATTCCATTGAAGTCTTTGGAAAAATATTTCTATGTACATTCATTGGCCCGCCTCAGCTTCTCTATATAGTCATATAAACTCAGACTTTTTTTTACTACCATAAAATCTACCATTTTTTTATCTTCAAAAAAATTTCCAAGTCATTGCGAATTATGTTAAACAAAATGTTTTTATTAGCCCTTGATTTTATCGATTCATGTTTTTTTTTTCATTTTTTTGCCATCAAAAATTTGCAAAACAAATTAATTAAAAATTTGCGTGTGTTTGTATTTTTTTGTTATGCTATTAATTATCAACTTTTGGAATTTTATATGAATGCTGCTTTTTGGCAAGGTTATTACACAATGTGTGCGAATAAAAAACCGAAAATCCGAAAAATTTGCAAATTTTTAATGAATCAATTCATTTAATATGGATTTAGTGCTGCGAGCTGGCAGGTTTGTGTCTTAAGTCATTTGTTTTGCTCCTCTCCTCCTATAAAGGTGATAGAGAGAGAGAGAGAGAGATCGCCAAAGAGAATCACTGTTATAATGCATGACTTTCTGTTGTTGTTGTTGCTCTGCAAAAAATGAATTATTTATAACAACAACAAAAGAAATTCACAACTTTTTCTTTTCTTTTTGTCGCGCAGATTTTGGGTGGCTACTTGGTTTTGTTTTTTTCTCTCTGCTGTTTAATTTATTTGCATATTAAATGGTTTATTTATTTGTGTGTGTGTGTATTTGTCTGGGCGCGTGAGATGATGATGCTTTTTAAAATTATGTAATTGTCTTTTAAATGAATGCATTTTTTATTGTTGTTGTTGCTGTTTGCTTTGAATTCCTTTTTTGTTTGATGCCCCCTCATTATTTTGATGGCCTGTCATTGCCAAGAGATTTTTTTGTTCAACAACAAAAACAACAATAAAACAATGTTTAATTATCTTTGTTGTTGTTACTGCTGTTGTTGACAACGACCTTTTAACAGCTCAATTTTTTGATGAGTGCACATCCATCTGTCTGTTCGTCTGTCTCTCTGTCTGTATGTGCCGATAACAATTGTTTATTATTTCAATGACAATGTTTTTGGGGCTTATGTTGTTGTTGTTGGATTTTGTTTGTTGTTGGCAAAGAGAAATTTAGGTTAAGCCAATGAAATTAAGTTGTGTTAGGTTAGGTTCACAAGAGCGAGTGATGCGCATTTTTTTAAGAGGGATCATGAGGAAGGGGAAGATTGCGAAAACTTAATAGATTACAACTAAATAAAAATTAGCGAAATTTATTATTATAAAATAAAAGAAAGTGGAATTAAATAAATAAAAAACAAAAACAAGAGATAGGTTTTTGAAGGAGAGAAAAATAGTGATTCCAAACTAACATAAAAAAATCTCCCAATTAAAAAAAAAATATTTTTTTTTTAATATTATACTTAAATCTATATTTATAACTATGTATATTTTTTTCTTTTTTATTTTTTTAAATTTTTTTTCGAGTCTATATAAATTTATATTTTTATACCCTTTACCACACTGTGGTACAGGGTATTATGTCTTTGTGCATATGTATGTAACAGGCAAAAGGAGACGAGATAGACACATGGTTCCTTTTGAGAATATGCATAGAATCACTTTCTGAGTTGATTTTTGCATGTCTGTCCCTCTGGCCGTCCGTCCGTCTGTCCATGTTAAATTGTAAACAAAGTACAAGCCGCATTTATGATCCGAATTGGATGACATTTGGCACAGTTCATTTATTTGCTTCAAGGACGAACCCTATTGAAATTGGGAAAAATCGGTTCAGATTTAGATATAGCTCCAATATATATTTTCGTTCGATTTAAGGTAAATGGGGCACCAAAGTCCCTATATATCTTTCGATTTGCACGAAATTTGGCACAACGTAATGAATTAGGTATAGAATGATGTGTGTATAGTTTCCTGAAAATCGGTTAAGATTTAGATATAGCTCCCATATATATTTTCGTCCGATTTAAGATAAATTGAGTAACAAAGTCCCTATATATATTTCGATTTGCACGAAATTTGGCACAGCGTAATGAATTAAGACTAGAATGATATGTTTAAAGTTTCCTGAAAATCGGTTAAGATTTAGATATAGCTCCCATATAGATTTTCGTCCGATTTAAGGTAAATGGTGCAGCAAAGTCCCTATATATCTTTCGATTTGAACGAAATTTGGCACAACGTAATGAATTAGGTATAGAATGATGTGTGTATAGTTTCCTGAAAATCGGTTCCGATTTTGATATAGCTCCCATATATATATTTTCGTCCTATTTTAGGTAAATAGAGCACCAAAATCCCTTCATATCCTTCAATTTGCACGAAATTTGGCATAGCGTACTGAATTGCGTCTATAATGGTGTGTGCCAAGTTTCGAAAAAATCGGTTCAGATTTAGATATAGCTCCCATATATAGTTTCGTTCGATTTATTTACCTTAAATCGAACGAACCAAAGTCCCTATATATCTTTCGATTTACACGAAATTTGGCACAGCGTACTGAATTTAGAGTAGAATGATGTCTGTCAAGTTTCGTGAAAATCGGTTCATATTTAGATATAGCTCCCATATATAGTTTCGTTCGATTTAAGGTAAATGGTGCACCAAAGTCCATATATATATATATATCATTCGATATGCACGAAATTTGGCATAGAGTACTGAATTAGGTCCAGAATGATGTGTGTTAAGTTTCGTGAAAATTAATTCAGATTTAGATATAGCTCCAATATATATTCTTGTCCGATTTAATGTAATTGGTGTAGCAAAGTCGCTATATATCTTACGATTTGCATGAAATTTGTCATAGTGTACTGATTTAGGTTTAGAATGATGTGTGTTAAGTTTCCTGACAATCGGTTCAGATATAGATGTAGCTCTCATATATATTTTTTCGTCCGATTTAATGCAAAAGGTGTACCAAAGTCCCTATGTAAATTTATATTTGCACAAAATTCGTCATAACGCAGTGAATTAAATTTAGAATGATGTATGGTATGTTTCGGTTCAGGCATAGGTCCTATATATAGTTTCGTTTGATTGTAAGTAAATGGTATACCAAAGACCCAACGTTAGGCCGATTGATACAAAATTTTGCACAACGTAGTGAAGTTAACATAACCTAACATGTGAAAGGTTTGCTAATATCGGTTCAAATTTAGATAGAATTACCATAGCTTATCATAGAAAGTACCCAAAGTGGTGAAGGGTATCATATAGTCGGCACCGTCCGACATTACTACTTTTCTTACTGGTTTTAAAAATATTGTTTTCCACCGACTACAACACCGGTATTTTTTTTATAAATATTTTCAATTTTTTTTCTATATATTGTAAACTTTGATAATTAATAAAAAAATAGCTTTTAATAATTTCGCTTTCCTTGACATGCATTTTTTCAAAGTGAGTGGCATAGGCCATTTGTAAATTACAGCAACAATTACAACCATAAAAAGTGCATTACAATAAAAAATGTGCAATATTTTTTTAAAAAATATTAATTGCATACTACTGTGTTTTTTTGTTATGCGGCCATCAAATGTCTTTTGTAGTTGTTGTTATTGTTGTACATTTTGTTTTTAATTTTCTCTATTAAATGGAAGTTCAAATTACTTTGCCCACATTGCAATTTTTGTGTTATTGCCGGGGGTCAAAATGGCGAGGATATCTGGCAATAAGTAATTGACAAATATTATGGAGTTGAATGCAAAAAAAAAATTGAAACAATGTTGCAAAAAGAGAGATACAAAGACATAAAAAATACACTTTTATGATGAAATATTTGAAATAAAAATCCACGCCTATGGTAGTCTTTAAAAAAAAAAATTAAAAGAAATCCACGCTTATTTGTAGAGCCTTAAAAATTTGAAAAATATATATTTAATAAACCTCAAAAAATATATTTTTTTCAATCCAAGGTAATTTTTTTCAATTAAAAAATTATTTTTATTTATTTTTTTTTAATCTGACTCCTTCCTTCTTCCTTTATTTCCTCACCATGTCTTATTTTCAATTTCTCAAATGGCATCAATTTCTCCACTTCCTTTTCATAGAGACAACCATACATTTCATCCAAATCCCGCAAATGATCGAATGGTCGGCGACCCTTATAAACATACATTGAATACAAAACTCTTTGAATTTCCCGAAAACCATTGGCCTCAAAGAGATCACCCTCTCGGCGGCACAAAGCCATATAAGTCACCCTTGGCATATGCCTGTGTTGGCCAACCAAGGAAATTGCCTCAAAGAATTTCTCTCTAAAACATCGATTATCCCACCACAGAGGTTCAATATAATAAGAGAAGATGTGTAGCGAATCGTAAGTTTTGTGATTTTCCAATGCATTTTCTTGCAATAGATTACGTGACAGATCAATGAGTTCTTCTAAATTTCGATTGTGAATCAGAACTTTTAATGCCGTCCATGAACGCCATTCCTCCGACATACACTGCATCAGGGCCACACCATAGATGTCATCTGTTTCCGAATCCATTATCACCAGACTGCTTTCATTTTCCAAGATGTGTTGAATTATTTCTTTTAGATTTTCTTGAAATTCTTGATTCCATTGATGATAACCCAAAATTTTATGCAATTCATTGTTGAGGATTGTTTGAAAATGTAATCTTTGAGACGTGACCTTTGCTTTTCGTCAATATCACATATGAGGAGATTTTTATACGATGTCCATATTATGGATGACATGACAATTTTTTTATTTTTTGAAAAATAGAAATGAAAATTGAACGCCATTTCTCCGACATACACTGCATTAAAGCCACACCATAGATTTCATCTGATTCCGAATTCATTATCACCAGACTGCTGTCATTTTCCAAAATGTGTTGAATTATTTCTTTTAGATTTTCTTGAAATTCTTGATTCGATTCATGATAACCCAAAATTTGATGCAATTCATTGTTGAGGAATTGTTTGAAACTGTAATCTTTGAGGCGTGACCTTTGCTTTTCGTTAATATCACATATGAGGAGATTTTTATACGATGTCCATATTATGGATGACATGACAATTTAAATTTATTTATTATTATTATTTTTTGAAAAAATTGAAAAATGGAAAATTATTTTAAAAAATCCACATTCTGGGCTTAATTCACATAGTCTAAATGACGTCGCCTTTTCGAAAAAACATTGACATGAAATTGAACGAAAGATATATAAGAACTTTGGTGCACCATTTACCTTAAATCGGAAGAAAATATATATGGGAGCTATATCTAAATCTGAACTGATTTTCACGAAACTTTGCACACATCATTATATACCTAATTCAGTACGCTGTGCCAAATTTCGTGCAAATCGAAAGATATTTAGAGACTTTGGTGCACCATTTACCTTAAATCGGACGAAAATATATATTGGAGCTATATCTAGATCTCAACCGATTTTTACGAAACTCAGCACACATCATTATAGGCTTAATTCAGTACGCTGTGGTAAATTTCGTGCAAATCGAAGGATATATACGGACTTTGATACACTATTTACATGAAATCGGACGAAAATATATATGGAAGCTATATCTAAATCTGAACCGATTTTCCCAAAACTCACCTCTCATGATTCTAGACTCAATTCAGTACTCTATGCCAAAGTTCGTGCAAATCGAAAGATAAATAGAAACTTTGGTTCAAATTTACCATAAATCGGACGAAAATATATATGAGAGCTATATCTAAATCTGAACCGATTTTCACGAGACTTAGCGTACATCATTCTGGACCTAATTTAGTACTCTCTGCCAAATTTCGTGCAAATCGACAGATATATAGGGACTTTGGTGCCCCATTTACCTTAAATCGGACGAAGTTATATATGGGAGCTATACCTAAATCTGGACCGATTTTTATGAAACTCAGCACACATCATTATATACCTAATTCAGTACGCTGTGCCAAATTTCATGCAAATCGAAAGATATATAGGGACATTGGTGCACCATTTACATTAAATCGGACGAAAATATATATGGGAGCTTTGTCTAAATCTGAACCGATTTTCATGAAACTTCGCAGACATCATTGTAGGCTTAATTCAGTACGCTGTGCCGAATTTCTTGCAAATCGAAAGATATTTAGGGACTTTGGTGCACCAATTACCTTAAATCGGAAGAAAATATATATTGGAGCTATATCTAAATCTGAACTGATTTTCACGAAATTTAACACATATCATTCTAGGCTAAATTCAGTACCCTATGCCAAATTTCGTGCAAATCGAGAGATATATAGGGACTTTGGTGCCCCATTTACCTTAAATCGGACGAAGTTATATATGGGAGCTATATCTAAATCTGAACCGATTTTCACGAAATTTTACACACATCGTTCTAGACTTAATTCAGTACGCTGTGCCAAATTTCGTACAAGTCGAGAAATTTATAGGGACTTTGGTGCTCCATTTACCTTAAATCGGATGAAAATATATATGAGAGCTATATCTAGATCTCAACCGATTTTTACGAAACTTAACAGACATCATTCTAGACTCAATTCAGTACGCTGTGCTAAATTTTGAGTAATTCGAAAGACATATAGGGTCTTTAGTGCACCATTTACCTTAAATCGGACGAAAATATACATGGGAGCTATATCTAGATCTCAACCGATTTTCACGAAACTTGGCAGACATAATTCTAGGCTCAATTCAGTACGTTATGCCAAATTTCGTGCAAATCCAAATGTATACAACGACAATTTACCTTAAATCGGACGAATATATATATGGGAGCTATATCTAAATCTGAACCGATTTTTCCCAATTTCAATAAGGTTCGTCCTTGTGCCAAATAAATGAGCTGTGCCAAATTTCATCCAATTCGAAATATAAATGCGACCTGTACTTTGTTTACAATATAACATGGACAGACGGACTGGCGGACGGACATGCGTAAAACGACTTAGAAAGTGATTTTATGCATATTCTCAAAAGAAACCATGGGTCTATCTCATTTCCCTTTGCCTGTTACATATGCACAAAGACATAATACCCTTGTTTGGTGAGGGATATAAAAATGTGTAGACCCTTAAAAATATTTCAGATTTTTTTAAATATTTTTTTTAAATTCATTTTCATATTTTTTTTTCGCTAAATTGAGCCACTGTACTGTCTTGACAAAATGCGTAAGCAGGTAATTTCTGCAAATTGCTTTACTGGCGGGGGTCTATGTGTCATGAACTACCGCACGAGCATAAAAATACAACAATTGTATTCAAATTGTGTTTCAATTGGTTGTTGTTGTTGCTGTTCACCTGTTTTGAAAAAATAAAAATAAAACTTTGCCATGCATTTTGGGGCTATTTCGTCAAAGCAATGAATGAAAGAAAAAAACCAAATAATTCCCAATTCAAGCCCAAAAAATTAAACAACAAAACATCCAACCAACCAAAAAACAACAACAACAAAAAACCGAAAAAAACGAATATTACGTCAACAGACATGTTGACTTATTGCATTAAATAATTTACACGCAATATATATGTCTATAATAGTAATCATATGTGCTACTCATTCCATGTACACACACACATATGTGCACATGTGAGTATGAGTAAATGTGTGTGTTTGTGTGTAATACCTGGAGAGTGAGTGCTTTTCGGGCAATTGTATTTCATTTGCCCCGAAATTGTCATTTCATTTCTACATTTCATTATTCCAGTGTTCGTTCGTCAGTCTGGCATAATCGACGAACACATTGTTGTTGCCACTGCTGCCGTTGTTGTTGTTGTTGCTCTTCTTACAAATCTCAGCAAATTGATATGAAAAAATGCCGAAAAAACTACTACTGCAATTATGTGTGCCTGAGCACGTGTTCAGCTGCCTCTGTGTGTGTGTGTGTGCGATCATCACTAGTTAGTAACACTAAGCGAAGGCAGTCTCAAGTTAATTTTTCGTTGAAAATTCCTCCGAAAAAATATAAATTGTTATGGTTATGAGAAGACCCCTCCAGGCCTCCCTCTTCAACTTAAAGGAGACAGACGCGAGGCCTACTAAGTACGAAGCTACAAATTAAACAACAAATCATCGCTAAGCTTTTGAAAAATGAGAGGTGTTGATTTTTTTTTGAAAGGAAAAAAGAAGAGTAGAGCAAGAGAAGAGAAAAACAAAAAGAAAATCTACGAAAAACCACAACAAAGCTGAGTGTGGAGGAAAATAGGCACATAAACTTTACGTTTAAAATGAGGAAGATTTTTCCAGTTTTTTTTTTTTTTGCGCATTAATTAAATGATGATCATGAATTGATTACAAAATAATTAAATAGCCTGAAAATTTGTTAAAAAATTAAGATTAAATTAAGATCCCTATATAGGCGTGGATTTTTATACCCTACACAACTATGTTGTCAGGTTTATTTTAGCTTTGCAGCAGCCCCAAGAGTTTGTAACGCCGCGAAATATTGGTCCTAGACCCACCTTTAAGTATACCGATCATCATATATCGACTAGCTGAGTCGATCTAGACATGTGTATCCGTCCGTCCATCCGTCTGCCCATTATAATTTGTAAACACGATACAGGCCACAGTTATGGACCAATCTTCATTGGGTTCTAGCCAATGAATGATCAATGAAAGATCGGTTAATATTAAGCATGCGGTTTTTCTGGTCGCGTCAGAGGAGAAGGGGATCAGGCCAAAGAATGAGTATGCCTGTTTTGATAAGGATTGGTAAATATTTAGCGGGTCAAAAGGAAACTGACTTTTGTGTGAAAAATTACAAAATTTGTATTCATTGGCGTATATATTTAATCCTGAAGGACATATACCCGAGATGTTGACAGTTTATCTAAGAGGTGTGGTTGACCTTAAATTTATACCAATTATATTGTCGTATGTACCCGGATGTGGAAGTTACACTTAAATATTTACAGGTACTTACGTATTCACACATTATTTAGTAACCCATTACCACACTAGAGGGCGGAAATATAGCGCTGATAGCTTTGAAATTTTCCATGACCAGCAACATCACAACATAACCCACGGTAAATAGAATCTGAACAAGTACAGCCGTCGTCTACTGAATATTAGTAATAATTGGTGACCTGTAGTCGGTCAAGAGGGTGCAAATATCGCGAAATATTGCCCCAGCTCAAAATGAAAGTTAGATTTCCGTGGAAGTTGTATAGGGTACCAAATGGTTGGCCCCGTCCGACTATACTGCTCCGCTTACTGGTTTCAAAATGTTTTTTTTTATAGACCTGCACAAGCGTGTATTTTTTAAAAATATTTATAAAGGATGGCATTTTGGCGAACATTCTGTAAAGATATTTTTTCATAGACCTTAGAACATAGGCGTCGATTTTTTTTAAAAATATTTTATGCGGATTTTTAAAAAATAATTTTTCCTTGTCCCCAAATTGAGAATATTTTTTAAAAATATTTTTCATGGTCCCTAAAAAAGTGCGGATTTTTTTTCAAAATATTTTTTCGTGGTGCCAAAAGGATGAGATTTTTTAAAAGTATTTTTTTCATGGACCAACACAGGCATGGATTTTCAATTTTTTTATTTATTCATTCCACACCATATTTACTTTGTCTACCCCACATTTCTATCTTCCACTGTTTATAAATTGAAATTGTCACCATGTCCTCCTCCCCTTCTCTCCCAGTTTTTTTTTTTTGCTTTTGCTTAATTATCAACACTGTAACAATCATTAATTCGTTTCAACAAAACAGAAATATTATTAAAATAAAAAAATAATAACATAATTGCAAGCATAAATGCTTGAGCAAGTAAATTAAACAGAAAATTAAGAAAAAAACACACAGACACACACACAACAACAACTGAGCAACATTTAAATACATTGCTGTTAACAAATAAACTACTTCCTCCTCAAACTATCTGGAAATGAGATGAAGAAAAATTAAAGATAACAACAACGTCTTTTGTAATAATTAAACAGTGTTGGATAATAATAATAAATAAATGATGAATATTTAGAGACCACTTAGCAATTAATTGTTACAAAAAAGATTAATAATCCATTCAGATATCCAGCTCT